AATCTGTAATGCCATAATTTCTCAATGGCAACAACATTATGAACAGAAACATTTTCATTGATATTTGAAAATTTAGAACAAAAATGACTCAAAGAACTATGGCTCAAATGCCTTGAAGAAACAGACTTAGGACACTCAACATGACTCTGAACAGTAGACCTAACATTTGACTGAATACTAGAAACTGGACTAGACACTAGATTATTCTTCAAAGGAACTGAAACATGCTGATTGTAAGATGTAGAATTCTGCTGTGAAGTGTTCTCTCTTAGCACATAGAGCCCTGCATTGGCATCACCAAAAACTAGATCCCTCTTCAGTGAAGGGACCTGTATAGCACAACCAAGTTTGGAGAAAATTAGTAAACAATCAAACTGATTACAAAGTTTATAAACTGACAACAAATTGTGTTTAAAAGAAGGCACAAAAAGAACATTATGCAATTCAAGGACAGGGCTTAAGTAAACACTTCCAACACAATAGACTTTTACTTTATATGAGTTAGGCAAGGTAACAATTACTGGGAAACTAAGTTTTTTAATATTGTGCAGAAGTGATTTGTCAAATTTCATGTGTTGGTTTGCTCTAGAGTTAATGATCCAGGTGTGATTAGTCGGCTTAGAGAAAAAGGAGGCATATACATGCCCATTGTCCCTGGTCTAATAAGTGGTAAAGAGTTGGCAAGCAGTAACTGTACCAGCCAGGTTTGCACTTGCACTGGGCTCGAAAATCGAAGCGCTAGGACATCCTCCCTGCATAGACTGGAAGAGTTGCACCAGTTTCTCATACTGCTCCTTGGTGAAAGTTTGGTTGCTTATAAGAGTGTTCAGATTATTTCTTGCATTTTCAGAGGTAAGCAACTCTTCTGAATTGGCAATATTTGCATATTGATTTGTTGGGTTCCTCTTCTTCTGTCTGCCATTGGTAAGTTTGAAGTGTTGTGGATATCCCACTAGTTTGTAGCAGTCTTCCTTGAGATGTCCTGACTTTTTGCAGTACCTGCAAAAGAGATCACTCTTCTTTCCATCTACCTGAACAATATGATTTCCACCTTTGGACTCAAAAACTTTCTTCTGTGACGTCCATTTTTGCCCTTGCATAAGAAAAGCTGAAGCATCAGTAGGCAACTGATTGTTAGAATGTACTCTCCTTTGAGACTCTTCATGTAGTACTATAGAGTATGCTTGGGCTGTTGTAGGTAGAGGCTTTATCATGAGTATGTTTCCTCTTGCTCCATTGTATGCTTCACTTAGTCCCATTAGGAATTGGATCAGTTTTTGATCCTCATTCACCTTATGATTATGTGTTTTAGCCCCACATTTACACTCACAACTGTAGGTCATGTATGTGTTTAATTCTTTCATCTGATCCCAAATTTTCTTCAACTTGTTGAAATAGCCTGCTACATCATAGGATCCTTGATTAATGTTGTTTAGTTCCCTCTGTAGTAGGAATAACTTGGTCCCATTAGCCTGTCCATACCTTTCTTCAAGCTCATTCCACAGCTCAGATGTTGTTTGTGATTAAATAACACTTTCTGCTATCTCCCTACTTAGGGAGTTAAGCAGCCATGACAACACCATGTCGTTGCATCTCTGCCAAAAAACAAACAGATTTGTATCTTTTGCAGGTATGGGACAAGTCCCATTGATAAACCCAAGTTTGTTTTTGACTGATAATGAAATCAGGACTCCCCTTCTCCAATTGTCGTAGCTTGTACCATCAAAAATGGTGTTTATGAGGTTCATTCCTGGGGAATCAGAGGAGGAGATGAAATAAGGGTGTGGGACATCGATTTGTGCTGAAGCAGTTTTGGGTGGTTGTTCTTCGCCCATTTATTTTTTGTTGCAACTCAAAAAAAAAAGAAAGAAGAAACTAGATAGAAAAAGATAACTGAAGAAAAATGTCGAATGGTGAGCTTAAAGCTCTGATACCATGAAGGAATCAAAGAGTAATGCATAAGAAATTTCTTGTATTCATTTCTGTGTGTTCATCTACAGTATATGCTTGTGTATATATAATAAATACAACTTCTCAGATGCCACTCACGAAGCCATAGAGAATTCTATCCTAACAACTTTTGTAACTAACTCTTAAATAAAGAAAATGTAAAAGAAAATATTTACAAAGTGCTATTACACCCATACCCTCACTACAACCTTCTAGATATTAACAGGAGGTGTCCTTTAGTAACTGTTGGATGAGAGCATCGTGTCCACATCTTGCTTCACTAAACAATTAATCAAACTAATATCTCTTAATAACATTGAAGCAAATTCCGACACAAGTCTGTCTTCCACATAGTTTAGAATATCTTTCATTCTCCTTCTTCATTCTGAGAGACACCAAAAATGGAGGGAATATATTTTCCGGCAACAGAGGTCGACTAGCTCCAGATTAATCTTAAGCCAGCTGATTCGAAAAATTAGAATTAACACCAAATAAGTCCAAGATTGAAATTTTAGACCTTTTGGTCGATCAATTGCTACTTGCATGGGCTAGGAATCTTGTACCAAAAAAAAATGTTCAGTTCTTATAATATTTTGAAATAATCGTGCACCATATTTATTTCAATACTTAAAATATTGAGGTTTAGTATTTAAAATAATATTGAATTAAAAATAATTATTTAGAAAGTATATAATTGATATAATAAATTTCTCTTATAAATCCTTAATTTTACGAACTCAAATTTTTTTTTTTTTTTGCGAGTAAAGTTTATGTCTGTATACTACTTTAGGGCTTGTTTGGTATGAGATGTAAGGAATAATTAATTTTGGGACTAAATTTTAGAAAAGTTTGTCCCAAGTTTAGTTGGTAGAAAATTACGGTATAATTCATCCCGGGATTGTATTATTTTTTAATTCCCATAAAAAGGTGGAATAACTAATTCCAGAATAATTAATCCCGAGATAACTTCTTTCCCACCAAACAATCCCTTAATTTTCGATTACTCCTTTTATAACTTCAATTTCAAAATTTATTTTTTCGTAGTAAATTTTCAACAAATTAAACAATAAAGGAAGACTTCCTTGGGAGCCAAAAACTGAACTAGTTGTAATACAGGGCAAAAACGAGTATCTTTTCCGACAGATGAGAGCTATTGGCAATAGGCGTTATTGTGGAATAGCAGAAGGTAACTCCCGCCGAGTACGGACTCTATATGTGCAAAGACACACGTTTGGATCAGTCCTATTAATTGCTGCAGCCTGCAGGGATAATGATACAAGCCTTACGCTGGCGTAAGCATTCACTAGTCCTTTTCTTTTGTTTATGACTTGATTTGGCAGTCAAAAAGAAAGTGCAAGGGTTATTTTGCCTAAGAAAGTGGGGGATTTTGTTGCAACGGAGAGCTAGGGAACAATGGAAGAGGGGTGCCTTATTAGCAATAGGTCTATTACTTGTTGGAAATTGAAATGAAGATGCAGTGATCAAGGTGAAAATTATTGCACAAGAGTAAGAAAGAAAGAATGACCCTTTTAAAAAGGGACCTCAAAACTGCCAAAGCAATAGCGTAAATAAGTGAAACAACAGGGAAAAGTAAAGCGTAGTTTGCAGAGGGACAGGAAATGGGAATCAATGTAGTTACTACGAGTTTCTCTGTGTCCAGAGACGATGTTTGAACACGCAATGCACACACGTCGAGGTTTGACAAATTTCTTACAATGAAACCCAAAGTTATGAATCATGATTAACATCGAGAATTATATGCATTCCACACACATGCGTGCCTTCCCTTAATCATGTTCTTGCCAGTTGTTAGATCTCTCATTTACTTCTCTTTTGAAAATGGAGCCTTAGCTACCTGAGTATTTTTTTTAATTGTAAAGTTATTCTAGGTATCGCTCAAGTACATGTAATAATTTATAACACATATGCACGATATGATTAGATATGTTAATTTTATGGGCCCAAATTTGACCGACCTTAACCTTTTGATGAGTGTGACCAACGATCGAGTACCGACGAATCGGCGTCCCGAGCGAGACGACCTCAAGGCAAAAATAGAAGTTGTACGACCCCTGTAAGAATGTAAGCCCATTAGGGAACATTAAGAATATTCCGCCGAATATTCCTTATATTGTATTTCTTACATTTCGGAAGGGTTTTCTCCCTAGTATATAAGGGGGAAAGAAGGACCTTGTTAAGGGTAATGAATATTCTGGGAAACTTGTGAATCTTGAATAAAAAGAAAACTTGTTGCTCTCTTCTGTTCACTCATTATAATTCTAGAGATTATTATATTCAGCTACGATTTACCCTCTCATCTTTGATTGATTTGCTCAAATAGGTCTTAACATCTTTTGAGTCAAACAATTTGGTGCCGTTTGTGGGGATTTCTATAGTTGAAACCATCGTTCTCATCTAGATCCCTGAATGTGATATTCGCTTTTCTTCGAACTCCGTATAAACCAACAATGGCAGGAAAGGAAGCGAGGCTAAAGGCAATCGCAGATGTCTCGAATAATCTCCTAAACTCCCTCAACGAAGCCGGCAGAGAAGATAATGAGAACGCAACACCAAGCGCTACATCGGAGGGAGAGATCTCGCCTCTACCACACGGAGATCTAACGATCTTACGCGAAAGGGGAAGCTCAACCTCCATGGCGGGGGAAACCCCACCATCAGTCAAAAGACTACTAGAAGAATGGCTAACGAGTGCTTTGAGCAACATGCTCGAGAAACTCACTCAAGGAGATGTCGAAGACATGCCACCTACAGAAATCACAGCTGTCGTCGATGAACCAGGCACTACACGAGCAGGTAACACCCGTACTATTACTAATGCAGGTGACGATGCGCTCATGGCCATCTTGAAGAAAATGAAAGACATGGAAAATGAGAATAAAACACTCCGTGACCAAATGAAGGAACATCAGGAGAGGGTTGATAAAATACCGGGTACTCCGAAGCTATTACCAAAAAGCGACGTGGGATGATTCGTCGAACAACCATATAGCGAAGGGGCTGCTCCTCATCCTATTCCAAAGACCTTCAAGATGCCGCCATACTTGAAAATATATGATGGGACCACGGACCCAGAGGATCACCTAATCCACTATGTTACTATAGTAAAGGGCAATGATATGTCAAAAGAACAGGTACCGTCTGTGCTGTTAAAAAGGTTCGGTGAAACTCTGACAGGGGGAGCATTGACATGGTACTCCCAGCTACGTGCGCGATCAATATCGACGTTCGAAGAGATGGCAGAAAAGTTCGCCACCGCTCATGCAGAAGCGAAGAAGGCCGAAGCTAGGGTCAACGATATCTTCGTCGTTAGGCAAACGACGGGCGAGGGACTTCGGGATTTCCTGGCCTGATTCAATAGAGTAAGGATGAGTCTGCCGAACGTGTCAGAAGGGATGGCAGTAGCAGCCTTTCAAAATGGGTTAAACAGGAACAGATCAAAGGCGACCAAAAAATTGCTCAGCAGACTCATGAAGTACCCCCTACCACATGGGAAGAAATCCACAATGCCTATTGCGCCGAGGTAAGGGCAGATGAAGACGACCTGAATGGGCCATTTCAGCGACTAACATCGGTTCAGACCGAGACAAGGAGAGATCGACGTAATGATGGGCGAAGAGATCAACCACCATGTTTCAACCGGGAAAGGCATCAGCCCTATATCCGTACATCCAACCCGCCCCCTCCACGACATGCGGACACCGTGCCACGGCACACTGCACCCCTCCGAAGCAAAAGAGGTATGGCCCCACTGCTATCTGCTCATAATTTTTGTGTTTCCCCTTCAGAGATAGTGTACGCACTGGAGAAGCTGGTCACGAAGGTACAGTGGCCGCAAAAAATGAAATCAGACCCAAGCACCAGGAGGTCCAACGTCCTCTACGAATTCCACCAAGAAAGAGGACATAAGACTGAGGATTGCATAGGTCTGCGACAAAAAGTAGTTAGGATGTTGAACCAAGGGTACCTGAAAGAACTACTGAGCGGTAAAGGAAGAGCCAACTTCGCTCGAGGACGTGACCCATCTCAAGGACTTCCAAAGCCACCATCGCCGAGCGCGAACCATACAAATGATCATTGGCGGTGGCGATGATACGGTAATCAACCAAGTGAAGTTCACCACCACATACAAACTCAAACGGACGGTCGCCCACGAACGGTACAACGACTTCGTAGATAGTATCGTCTTCGATAAGTCAGATACCAACGTAGAGCAGACATCCGAAGAAATAGTGCTACCTATACTAGTAGGAGGGGTCACTCTGGAAATAACATTCCATGTCATGAACCAGGAAACAACCTATAATGCCATCATAGGGCGACCATGGATACACACCATGCGAGTCGTCCCCTTAAGTTTCTATCAAGTGATCAAGTTTCCCACCCCGTGGGGGATATTCAGCATCCGAGGCGAGCCACGCACCGCCCAAGAATGCTACCGGATTGCCCAAGATTATGCACACACAAAACAACTAAAAGGAGCAAGTGCAGAGGCATAACAATCAGCCATATCGGGAACTAAACCCGACCTACAAACAGAGGCCATCAAAGACCTGTATATCGTAGAAGCTTGCAAGGCAACTATAGAGGATCTCGACCCCGTCCAATTGGATGACACTGACAGTACAAAAAAGGCTTACATAGGGCACAACCTCTCGGAACCAGGTAAGTATCATGAATTATTAACTAACAACGCCGATTTATTTGCTTTCTCCCACTCAGATATGCAAGGAATCCCAAAGGACATCGCCACTCATAGACTGAATGTTGACCCGCTCTACCCACCGGTATGGCAAATGAGGAGAAAGTTCAATGCAACAATCAACGAGGCAGTCAGCGAGGAGGTGGATAAATTACTCACCAACGGTTCCATCAGAGAATTGAAATACCCCCAATGGGTCGCCAATGTGGTCATGATAAAAAAGAAGAATGGGAAATGGCGAATGTGTGTTGACTTCATCGATCTAAACAAAGCATGCCCAAAGGACTCCTTCCCGTTACTCCATATCGACCAACTGATCGATGCGACAACGGGACACGAACTGCTGAGCTTCTTGGACGCTTACTCCAGTTACAACCAAATTCTAATGGCTGAAGAAGATCAAGAAAAGACGACTGTCATCACTTACCAAGGGACGTACTGCTATAAAGTGATGTCGTTCGGACTCAAGAACGCAGCGGCCTCGTATCAGAGGCTAGTCACCAAAATGTTCAAAGAGCATCTCGGCAAGACCATGGAGGTCTATATCGATGACATGCTAGTAAAGTCAACAAAGAAGGAGGATCACATCAGCCATGTAAAAGAAGCCTTCGAGATACTAAGACAGTACGGGATGAAATTGAATCCCGAGAAGTGCGCTTTGGCGTAACCTCAAGAAAATTCCCTTGGCTTCCTCGTGTCGCAAAGGGGAATCGAAGTCAACCCTGATCAAATCAAAGCCATCAATGCAATACCAGAGGTACTGACAAGCAAAAAGCAGGTGCAGAAGCTAACAGGGCGAATAGCCGCCTTATCAAAGTTCATATCACGATCCTCGGACAGATGCCACAAATTCTTCAATGTGTCGAGAAAAGACCACGGGCTGCAATAGAACGAGAAATGTATCGACGCTCTGAGAAAACTAAAAGCGTATCTGTCCTCGCCACCATTGCTCGTCAAAGCGGACCCAGGTGAGTGTCTACTTGTGTATTTAGCAGTTTCTGAGGTCGTAGTAAGTGCAATCTTGGTCCGTGAAAATAAAGGTACGCAATCTCCAATTTATTATATCAGCAAAACTTTAATCGATGCCGAGACAAGGTACCCTCACCTTGAAATACTAGCTCTGGCACTGGTCGTGGCTTCACGGAAGCTTAGACCATATTTTCAGTGTCATCCCATAAAAGTGGTAACGACCTTCCCCTTGAGGGGTGTCCTACACAAACCTGAACTATGGAGTAGACTTGCAAAATAGGCCATAGAATTAAGCAAGCACGACATAACATACCAACCGCGAACTACTATTAAGTCGCAGGTGCTTGCCGACTTCGTCGCTGATTTCAGCACAAAGATATTGCCCGAGGTAGAACAAGAAGCGCTCCGCGCTTCCACACATACAGACATATGGGTCCTCTACACCGATGGTGCCTCTAATGCCTCGGGATCGGGATCGGGACTCGTCCTCGAGGTCCCTACGGGCAAAGTAATTCGCCAGTCCATACGATGCCTCGAGATGCCTAACAACGAGGCCGAGTATGAAGCTGTGATTGCAGGTTTGAAGTTAGCCCTCAAATACGGTGCCTGACGACTCGTCCTCCACAGTGACTCTCAACTCATTGTGAATCAAGTCACCAGGACTTTCCAAATCAAAGAACAGAGGCTACAAAGATACCAGTCGGAAATCCACAAACTACTGCCAGAATTCGACGAATGCCGCTTCGACCAATTACCCAGGGCACAGAATATTGAAGCAGATGGCCTCGTCAAACTAGCTGCGGCCACCAGGAATATCAACAAAGAAAACGTGGTCATCCTCCTTCATTCCGCAATAGACCACACCAAGGTACATTCTATGAACTTAACTTGGGACTGGTGTAACTGCTTTGTAGCCTATTTGCAGGATGGAACGCTCCCGCAAGATAAATAAGAAGCCAAAAAACTCCGGGTACAGGCAGCCTGGTATAACCTAGTAAACGGTGATCTACACAAAAGAACATTCGGTGTCCCCCTAGCCAAATGTCTTGGACCAAATCAAATAAGAAAAGTACTGGAAGAAGTACCCAAATGGCACTACGGTGCCCATACGGGAAACCACGCTCTCGTTCGATGCCTTATCCGCGCTGGCTACTATTGGACCACCATGAAAAAAGAAGCCGCCGACTATGTCAGAAGATGTGAACAATGTTAGAAGTACGCCCCTATGATACATCAAGCAGGGGAACTCCTTCACTCTGTCACTTCGCCATGGCCATTCATAAAATCAGGAATGGACATAGTCGGCCCCCTCCCAGCAGGACGAGGTAAGGTATACTTCCTTTTGGTTTTAACTGACTATTTCTCTAAATGGGTGGAAGCAGGTGCATACACTCAGATACGCGAGCAGGAGGTCATCGCCTTCATATGGAAAAACATTATATGTCGTTTTGGCATTCCCAAAGAAATTAGCTGTGACAACGGACCTCAGTTCGTCGGAAAAAGAACGACTGAGTTTTTCGAAAAGTGGCGCATCAAGCGAATACTCTCCACGCCATACCACCCTGCCGCCAATGGTCAAGCTGAATCCTCCAATAAGGTAATATTGAATATACTAAAGAAGAAGCTCGAGGAAGCTAAAGGGCTATGGCCTGAGCTATTACCAGAAGTATTATGGGCATACCGCACTACGCCAAAAATCATCACAGGAGAAATGCCAAATTCACTGGTCTATGGGACCGACGCAGTTATACCCATCGAGGTCGGGGAGCCCAGTTTGAGACACTCCAACGAGAGTAGAACATGCAACAACGAAACTAGGCTACAAGACCTGGACGAAGTTGAAGAACGAAGAGGCATGGCCCACATAAGAATGGTAACCCAGAAGAAGTAAGTAGAAAGATACTATAATAAGAGAGCTGTCACACCTCCTTTTTCCGCCCCCGCGAGGGTGCAAGGGAGTTTTTCCAATTAAAGGACAATCGAAACGGGATTTGTTTATTTATTTCAGAGTCGCCACTTGGGAGATTTAGGGTGTCCCAAGTCACCAATTTTAATCCCGAATCGAGGAAAAGAATGACTCTATATTACAGTC